TGGAGTGATGGGGGAAGAAAACTGGTGAAATATAACAAGTGATTCACAAAATAACTCAAAACCACGGTTCTCAAATTCCTTACCATGGTCACTCCTGATTTGTAACGCCCCGTTTGAATTTGAATTATTTGAGATTATTTATTGGTTTATTATTGCCATTATTATTACTTATTTATATTATAATTATTATTATTATTATTATTATTATTATTATTATTATTATTATTATTATTAAATGTCTAATTGTTTAAAATGCTTATTTAATATTAAATAGACATTATTGTGTGTATTATATAAATATATATGTATTCCCGTTAATTTATTTTTTTTCGAACCGTTCAATCGATCCAAGCCCGAATATTCGTAAGTCGAACCGTTGGAGAATTTGATCCAATGGGGCTCCATATTTCGTCCCAATTAATTTGATCCTAACCAAATTGTGTTGTTCCCAGACCCATTTAGAGATCTTGTGGCCCATTAAGGAAGTAGTATTTTTTTTAGCCCATTTGATGACTTAAAATTTTGGCCCACCTGAAAGTTATTTTGTGGCCCAATTAAGTTATATATCATCAAACCCATCTTCTCCTTCACAATCGCAGACCAAGTCGTGCAATTCGAATTGCAGGCGCGATTCTCTCGCGATGACCTCTCGCACGTTCTACGTCTATCTAATCTACTTAAGAACCGGTGAGGAGTTGTTTTCCTCAAAATTGTTCAAACCCAAGCTATATATCTCTCTCAATCGCATACTGCGTCAAAAAAAAAAGAATTTGCAAACCTGCAATTCGCCCGGCAGCTCCACTTCGATCAAATTCCCGTCGTCATCATCACCCTCGCCTCGAGCAGCAACCAGTGCTCACCGGCGAGTTCCCTTCCCCGTCGCTGCCGCTCCATTGCTACAACCACCGCCCGAGAGCCATAGCAGCATCCCGTCATCATCACCCTCCGTCGGGTCCCGTCGAGTCCCGTAGGAGTGCCGAACGTGGCCGTCGATTCCCGTCGAGTTCCGTCGGACTGCCAAGCGTAGCCGTAGAGTCCCGTCGAGTTCTGGCGAGCCTCCATTCATTCCGTTCGTTCGACCCATTTTTCCAATTTCGCGTAAATTTCCCGAAGACGGGTAACCTCACGAAACCCTCTCGTTAATTGTTGTAGGGATTATACTGTTGGCTTATTTTGCGTTCGTTGAATCGTTCGTTGGTCTTCGCGTTTGGTTTAAATGTCGTCTCGTATTGTTTGTTATTTATTTCGTATGTTTCATGAATTTTTCGTGGAGATTATTGGACTCTTGTTAATTTCAAATCGACCTCGTATGTTGTTGTGATAAATTCGTCTTGTTTCAGAGTCCCGTTCTGTGGTTTTGAGTCTTACCGCCTTCGGTGTGTCGTTCGTTTGTTTTCCGAACCGTGTGTTGTTGTCGTTTCATTTTCGAACCATTTTTAATCCCGATTTCAAAAATACTTGAACTCTGAGAAAGTAAGGTTATTTTCTCATTTTCTGAAAATTTTAGAACCTTGGTTGAACTGATATTGTCGCGGGATGAGTCTCTGGTTGCACTCTGCAAAAAAAAAAAAAAATATCTAAACTCTGATCAGTAGTTTGCAGGCCTCCTTTTAAAATCTAGTAATATTTCATTTCATAGAAAGGAACGAAAAAGCGTGTAGCGCAGTGGTCATCTGTGCGCTATTCCGTGAGGGAGGTCGGGGGTTCGAATCCATTCCCTTGCGTAATTAATAAGTTTTTTTTTTTATTTGAGGGCCAGCTTCAGCGTGCGGGCCATAGGGCCCAATTCCAGCCCGCGCGCAGCCCGTCCCCTGTCTCAGCAGATGAAGCCCGCGAGCTCGCGTGCCTTCAGCCTTTAGAAAGTTTTGTGCCAGCCCTTTGTGTGGCCCAATTCGCATATGCAGCGGCCCAACAGTGGCTTGTGCAGCCCAATTGTCATTTTAAGCCAATTGTGTTCCAGAGCTCTTTTTCGTACCGATTTCAACTTTAAAAATATCTTTAAGATAATAAAATTTTGGGAAAAATTATTTTAAGTCCCGAGACTCCAAATTTTACTCTCCGAGTCTTACTTTTCAAAAATGAGAGAGTTCCAAGTCCACGAAAAATTCGATTAAAACCCTTAAGACTTAATTTTTATTAAGTATGGGTTTTATGTTAAATTTGAGTAGTGAGATAAATTATTGATAAATTATCTCGCTTAAATGTAGGTGTTTGAGGAGTCGAGCCTCATCCTACGTACTTGCTCTTGTGTGCAATTTTCTACCGAGCTATCCAAGTGGGTTGTAATTGTAAAATTTGCTAAGCCATATGTGTTTATCATGATGTTGACTTGGTATGATTTTAGTATGTACGTAAACCATGTAGCCTATCGGCATGAGCCGATTCGGCCGTCGGTACGGTTGTCCCCATCGATGTAATACGGTTACCTGCGAGGTAAGTCTCCGTAAGACCTAATGAAAGGCCGTGCCTTGTCGTATGGCACGTACCCCCATGAGTTAGGGTAATGAATCCCCTTTCCTTGGCTAATGAAAGATGTGCACACGTGGGTATTATGTTGTGATGTGATTAGGAGACGTGACAGATTAATTGTTTTATGTTCATACTCTAACCATACCTTCTCTTCATTATTTATGTTGTGATATAAGTGCATAGTGGTGAGCACGCTTTTTATCTTGTGCTCATTCCCACCTGCTCTTCACTGATGCAGGTTAAGCAGGAGCTGGGTGACGGGAAGAGGCGAGTGGGTCGGTCATTTCGTTATGCATTTTATGCTTCCGTAGAATAAATAAGGCCTTTATGGACCTTTATGTGGAGAGTCGTTTAAAACTTTTTCCAAACCTTATGACATGTTGTTTTTGGGAAACTTGTGGAACCCTGGATTATTGGGTATGATGATGTGGTTTGATTATTCATGTTGAGAATTAAGTCTCGTATGATATGTTTTGGTTAATGAAAACCATTTGTGAAAACTGGGTAATGAATCCCCGTGGGCCCAGATAAGACTTCGGTTATGAAAATATTGTTTAACACCCATTAAATTTCAAAAATGATCTCGAAAAATTTGTACTGATTTTTGGAAAGTCCAAAATTTCTGTACAATCAAAGTGGGGTGTTACAGTTTGGTATAAGAGCCAGTCTGCGTTTCTGTAGACTGGCACATATGTGATTATGTGTTTAGACCTTGTGTTATGACCACTCGTCTCCGTCACTTCTCGCTGCTTAAGGTATGTTTGATTTAAGTATTAATGAAAATACTTGATATGTAAATGGAACACATGTGGTAATGAAACTACTTGTGAGGTACTTGTTATTTGTGGGGCTTAGGATTTATCCACCTTGATTTAATCGAACTCTAGTGTTTATTGGCGAACTCTAGACTTCTATAAGAATTGATTATTTTGTTTGTTTTTGTGCGAAACCTTGTTCGACTTATTCAATGTAGAAGTATGAATACTCGCAACAACAACCGTAACCGTCAGGCATCCCCGCAACCTTCTCCGCCTCGTCAGCACCAGGCCCCTCGGGCCATGGACCTCACTCAGCTTATCGTCCAGTTTAAGAGGATGAATGCACCCACTTTTGCGGGGACTGAGGACCCCACAGCGGTGCTGGAATGGATGAAAGAGCTGGATAAGATTTATGTGGTACTTCCCCTTCTGGACCGTCAGCGGGTATCCTTCGCAGCTTATCAGATGAAGGAGGACGCCTCTGACTGGTGGATTGACCACTGGGCCCGGAGGCTAGAGGCGGAGCTCCATTCTCTCACTTGGGAGCAGATGAAAGTGATGGCGCGCAGCAAGTTCCTTCCCCAGAGCTCTTGGGATAGGATGGAGCATGAGTTCTACCACTTGCAGCAGGGCAGCTCCACAGTGGATGAGTATATCCGCACTTTCACCCGCATGTGCCTTTTTGCGGGCGACGCAATGAACACCGATGCCAAGAAGGCCCGCAAGTTTCTCAAGGGGCTCAACCATAGGATCCGTGAACTGGTGGGAAGTCACGGGCCGATGTATTTTGCCGACACTGTTAGTCGGGCTCAGGAGGTAGAGAGTTGTCTCATTCCGATAGCTCCAGTTCCTTCCTATTATCATGCTTCCCAGTCTTCTCAGACCGTTGCTCAGTACGCTCAGCCCATCTCATCTGTGCCGCCCGGCTCTAGTTCGGGCAAGAGAAAGTCCGACTTCCAGAACAAGAAGAAGGGTAAGAAAGGAAATTTTGATAGGCGCGACAACCGGTCCTCCACTGGCCAAACCTGCCCGAAATGCGGCCGATCCCACAGTGGCGAGTGCTTAGCTAACCAACGCAACTGCTTCAACTGCAACCATCCGGGACACTATGCCAATGTCTGCCGTGAGCCGAAGAGACAACAACAGCAACAACCACCCTACCCTCAGCAGCAGCAACAGCTTCCCCCACTGCCACCTCATCAGCAGCATCAACAGCCCCCACCGTTCCAGCAGAGGGCTGGGGGTCAGGCCCGAGTCTATACCATCACCCATGATGAGTCCGCCCACAATGCAGGTACCATGTCCGGAATGCTTTCGATATCCCATGTGCCTGTCTTTGCTTTATGTGATACCGGTGCTACCCATTCTTTTATTTCTTCTCGTTGTTTGGAGGCCTTATCTATTAGCACCGTGCATGCTTGTGATCCTCTCGAGGTTAGTTGGGCCTCGGGAAAAATTATTATCTCTGATTCAGTGGTTCGCAATCTTCCTATCTGTATTGGTGGTCGAGTTCTGGGGGCCGACGTCTATGTAATTGATATGCAAGACTTTGACGTGATCTTGGGTATGGACTAGCTCACCCGTTATCGAGCCGACATCCGGTGCCAGGAGCGTGAAGTCACCCTCTATCCCATTTCTGATCAGCCTGTTGTGTTCTTTGGGGTGAGTTCGAGGACTGTGCCTCGGGTCATCTCTTCTATGCAAGCTAGGAAGAGCCTTTCCAAGGGTAGCTGTCAAGGCTATCTTATTTCCATGGTATCCGACGATGTTGATGAGCGGGTGCCCGAGAGAGTATCTATTGTTTGCGAGTACCTCGACGTTTTTCCGGATGATTTGTCCGGAGGACCGCCAGACCGCCAGGTGGAGTTCATCATTGACCTAATTCCCGGAGCCGGCCCCGTTTCTAAGGCCCCTTACCGTATGGCGCCGAAGGAGCTTCAAGAGCTCAAGGCCCAAATCCAGGAGTTGCTTAAGCTCGGTTTTATTCGTCCGAGTGTCTCGCCGTGGGGTGCGCCCGTCCTATTCGTGAAGAAGAAAGACGGATCTATACGCATGTGCATTGACTATCGGGAGTTGAATGCCCTTACAGTCAAGAACAAGTACCCTCTTCCCCGTATTGAGGACCTTTTCGACCAGCTGAGAGGAGCCAGCGTCTTCTCAAAGATTGACTTGCGTGCTGGCTATCATCAACTGAAGATCCGAGAGTCGGATATTTCCAAGACTGCTTTCCATACCCGCTATGGCCACTATGAGTTCGTAGTCATGCCGTTCGGACTCAGCAATGCCCCAGCCGTTTTCATGGACCTTATGAATAGGGTCTTTCATCCTTTCCTGGACCAGTTCGTCATTGTGTTCATCGACGACATTCTGGTCTATTCCCGAGATATTGATCAGCACAAGGAGCATCTGAGGATTGTGCTGGAGACTCTTCGCCGCGAGAAGTTGTAGGCTAAGTTCTCGAAGTGCGAATTCCGGCTGAACCGTGTGGCATTCCTTGCCCACATTGTGACAGCGAGAGGCATTGAAGTGGATCCCAGCAAGATTGAGGCGGTGAGCAAGTGGGATACGCCGAGAAGTGCAGCGGATGTTCGCAGTTTCCTGGGGTTAGCAGGATACTACAGGAGGTTTATCGAGGGCTTCTCGAAGATAGCCCAGCCACTGACCAACCTTACGAAGAAGGCCGTAAGTTTTAATTGGAGTCCTCAGTGCGAGAAGAGTTTTCAGGAGTTGAAGAGGAGACTCACTACCGCGCCTGTCCTATCTATACCCGACCCTACTTTGGAGTTCACCATCTATAGTGATGCTTCGAAGATGGGTTTGGGATGTGTCCTTATGCAGCAGAGAAAAGTCGTGGCCTATGCTTCGAGGCAACTGAAGCCTCACGAGCAGAACTACCCCACTCATGATCTCGAGTTAGCTGCAGTTGTCCACGCCTTGAAGATTTGGCGGCACTATCTCTATGGAGGCAAGTGTGAGATCTTTACCGACCACAAGAGCCTAAAGTACATCTTCACTCAGAAGGAGCTGAACATGAGGCAGCGTAGATGGTTGGAGCTGGTCAAGGACTACGACTGTACTATTAGCTATCATCCTGAAAAAGCTAATATGGTAGCTGATGCCCTTAGTCGGAGGAGTTATAGCCAGCTGTCTTGTTTATTCACCAGGCAGGATGTTCTTATTCAGGAGTTCGAGCGATTACAGCTGGAGACAGTGGAGTCGGCTTCGACATTCGGGGGCATGTTGGCCTCTTTGGTTGTGGGACCGACTCTTCGAGAAAGGATAGTCGCCGAGCAGCCGAATGACCGTTTCCTATGCCAGATGAGAGAGTTGTCAGCAGGTGGTAGAGTTGGTGGATTTGCAGTCGCATATGATGGGGCTTTGGTCTTCGAGGGTAGACTTTGTGTTCCGAGGGTGTGGGAACTGCGAAGGGAGATTTTGAGAGAGGCCCATAGTGCTCCGTACACCATCCATCCTGGTAGCACGAAGATGTATCAGGACCTGAGGAAATCTTTCTGGTGGCGAGGCATGAAGAGGCAGGTAGCGAAGTTCGTGGATGGGTGCCAGGTGTGTCAGCAAGTGAAGGCTGAGCGCCAGAAACCGAGAGGGTTGTTACAGCCCCTTGAGGTTCCCCTGTGGAAGTGGGAGTGCATCACCATGGATTTCTTAGTGGGACTGCCGAAGTCGAGGAGTGGGTATGATTCGATTTGGGTGATAGTGGATCGCCTTACGAAGTCTGCCCATTTTCTGCCAGTCCAGACGACCATGAAGGCGAGTGATTACGCCGAATTGTTCGTCAAGGACATTGTTAAGCTTCATGGGGTGCCCGTGTACATTGTTTCGGATCGAGATGCCAAGTTGACATCCCAGTTCTGGAGGACGTTGCACCGTGCCATGGGGACGAGGTTGGAGTTTAGTACAGCCTTTCACCCCGAGACAGATGGTCAGTCGGAGCGTGTGATCTAGTACTTGGAGGATATATTGAGGGTTGTGGTCTTGGACCGAAGCCTGACTTGGGAGTATGCCCTTCCGCTAGTCGAGCTGACCTACAATAACAGCTACCACTCTTCGATCAAGATGGTCCCGTACGAGGCTTTGTATGGACGTAAGGTCCGGAATCCTTTGTACTGGGATGAGGTTGGAGAGAGAAGGATTACGGATTCGGATTTTTTTCAGAGTACTGCAGCGACAGTTGAAGAGATCCGGAAGACTATCAGGTCTGCCCAGGAGAGGCAGAAGGTCTATGCTAACCGGGAGAGGCAAGAGCATGTTTATGCAGTAGGAGATCATGTCTTCTTGAAGGTTTCACCCATGAGAGGTGTGATTCGCTTCGGGAAGAAGGGAAAACTTAGACCTCGCTATATCGGGCCGTTCGAGATCCTCGATCGAGTCGGGAACTTAGCGTATCGACTGGCTTTACCACCAGACTTGTCGGGTGTGCACGACGTGTTCCATGTCTCAATGCTTCGGAGGTATGTGCATGATCCTGATCATGTAGTGGACTTCGGCGAGCTGCCGGTCGAGCGAGACCTCACCTACGAGGAGGTGCCGGTAGCCATTTTGGACCGGAAGGTCCATCAGCTGAGGAACCGGGCAGTGAGCTTAGTGAAGGTGCAGTGGAGCCGACACGATGAGACCGAGGCCACTTGGGAAAAGGAGGCCGAGATTAGCAGGCGTTATCCGAACTTTGAGTTCTGAGTTCTCCTTTGTATTTTATCGCTTTCTAGTTTATTTTTGAATTCCGAGGACGAAATTCTATGTAAGGTGGGTAGACTGTAACGCCTCGTTTGAATTTGAATTATTTGAGATTATTTATTGGTTTATTATTGCCATTATTATTGCTTATTTATATTATTATTATTATTATTATTATTATTATTATTATTATTATTATTATTATTATTATTATTAAATGTCTAATTGTTTAAAATGCTTATTTAATGTTAAATAGACATTATTGTGTGTATTATATAAATATATATGTATTCCCATTAATTTATTTTTTTTCGAACCGTTCAATCGATCCAAGCCCGAATATTCGTAAATCGAACCGTTGGAGAATTTGATCCAATGGGGCTCTATATTTCGGCCCAATTAATTTAATCCTAACCAAAATGTGTTGTTCCCAGACCCATTTAGAGATCTTGTGGCCCATTAAGGAAGTAGTATTTTTTTTAGCCCATTTGATGACTTAAAATTTTGGCCCAGCTGAAAGTTATTTTGTGGCCCAATTAAGTTATATATCATCAAACCCATCTTCTCCTTCACAATCGCAGACCAAGTCGTGCAATTCGAATTGCAGGCGCGATTCTCTCGCGATGACCTCTCGCACGTTCTACTTCTATCTCATCTACTTAACAACCGGTGAGGAGTTGTTTTCCTCAGAATTGTTCAAACCCAAGCTCTATATCTCTCTAAATCGCATACTGCGTCAAAAAAAAAAAAAAAAAATTCGCAAACCTGCAACTCGCCCGGCAGCTCCAATTCGATCAAATTCCCGTCGTCATCATCACCCTCGCCTCGAGCAGCAACCAGTGCTCACCGGCGAGTTCCCTTCCCCGTCGCTGCCGCTCCATCGCTACAACCACCGCCCGAGAGCCATAGCAGCATCCCGTCATCATGACCCTCCGTCAGGTCCCGTCGAGTCCCGTAGGAGTGCCGAACGTGGCCGTCGATTCCCGTCGAGTTCCGGCGAGCCTCCATTCATTCCGTTCGTTCGACCCATTTTTCCAATTTCTCGTAAATTTCCCGAAGACATGTAACCTCGCGAAACCCTCTCGTTAATTGTTGTAGGGATTATACTGTTGGCTTATTTGGCGTTCGTTGAATCGTTCGTTGGTCTTCGCGTTTGGTTTAAATGTCGTCTCGTATTGTTTGTTATTTATTTCGTATGTTTCGTGAATTTTTCGTGGAGATTATTGGACTCTCGTTAATTTCAAATCGACCTCGTATGTTGCTGTGATAAATTCGTCTTGTTTCGGAGTCCCGTTCTGTGGTTTTGAGTCTTACCGCCTTCGGTGTGTCGTTCGTTTGTTTTCCGAACCGTACGTTGTTGTCGTTTCATTTTCGAACCATTTTTAATCCCAATTTCAAAAATACTTGAACTCTGAGAAAGTAAGGTTATTTTCTCATTTTCTGAAAATTTTAGAACCTTGGTTGAACTGATATTGTCGCGGGATGAGTCTCTGGTTGCAGTCTGCAAAAAAAAAAATTTCTAAAATCTGATCAGTAGTTTGCAGGCCTCCTTTTAAAATCTAGTAATATTTCATTTCATAGAAAGGAACGAAAAAGCGTGTAGCGCAGTGGTCATCTGTGTGCTATTCCCTGAGGGAGGTCGGGTGTTCGAATCCATTCCCTTGCGTAATTAATAAGTTTTTTTTTTATTTGAGGGCCAGCTTCAGCGCGCGGGCCATAGGGCCCAATTCCAGCCCACCCGCAGCCCGTCCCCTGTCTCAGTAGATGAATCCCGCGAGCCCACGTGCCTTCATCCTTTAGAAAGTGTTGGGCCAGCCCTTTGTGCGGCCCAATTCGCATATGCAGCAGCCCAACAGTGGCATGTGCAGCCCA